GTTTCAGTGGACTTTTTAACTTAATTACTGTTCGTTATTTCCATATTTCATCCTCACTTTTTCGATACTCAAGAGCATGCTCTGAGTACGATCTATTTTTAAACCGATGGGGCAACTGATAAATAATTTGTTATTACAGGGATTTCAACAACCTCGTGTAATGTCAGCATTTCGAAAAATTCTCTGATTGTTATAATGACCTTGTTTGCAAATGCAATATATCAGGGGGTCATATTTTGACCTACATGTTTCTTAGCAGCTTTTAGCCAGTAATTTTATTCTAAATTTGACTACAGATTATTCAATCTGATCAATACATAAGGTCACGATGGGTGTGACCGGTCAATAGGGGATGCTTACTCCTTCTATGCACCCGATCCCACAATTTCAGGGTCCGTATTTTATGCCTTGGTCACGAATCTGTTCTGTTTTAAAGATTTCTGTGAGATCAATCACTGTTCGTTATCTTCACATCTTTCATCTGTGTAACGTACAATCTTTCTAAATAAGTGTACTCAATATTGAACATCCTGTGTAACTTACAATCTTCATGAATAATTGTACACAATTTTCAACCTTCCAAGTAACTGAGAATCTTCCTGAATATGTGCACTCAACATTCCATGTAACTTACCATCTTCCTGAATATTTAATATTTAATCTTCTATAGAAGCAATTTACAGTTATCCTGAAAGAATGTGCTTAATATTCAACCTTCTAAGTATTTTATAATGTACGTGAATAAGTGAACATTCGTCTCTTTTTAGTGTAATTTTAAGTCTTCTATCAATTTACAATGAACACACTTTTGAAAACTGAAGACTATCTACTGTAAATGAAGAACCAGTCTATCCTGTTGTGAATTTAGTGAGGTTTCAGATTATTTCATGTATCTGTGTATGGAGACCGGGTGTGAGATGAACGTTGTTGATGTCAGTCGACAATAAATATACATGTATGTTAGATACGACTCCCATTTCATCCTTTTTTTCTCTTCTTCATGGAAAATTCGTAAAAAAAGTAATTTGTTGTGTCCTAATAACTCAAATGGCCATAAGCCTGTTTATAGAAGGTATGCAGAGTCCCGTCGCTTCTTTATCAGTAAACATTACTTACTGATGTTCCATTGACATCGTTTCCAATTCTCGAATCATTGGTCATCATTGATCATCTTATGTTAAGGACCTCACACTCCTGTTTCTTCCTCCTAGTGCTTGCATATTTTTGTTTCTTTCTCATACATAGAACTCTGTACTGTGGGCATCTTCCCAAGTCAAGGGTTTCTAATCCACTCCGCTCCACATAAACCCTTGACCGAATAGACCGAGTTTGACGGCACTGTCAACATTCTGTCACAAAGTGCTAGTTATATAATACACAGATAGAATCTAATATGAAGACGGTAGTGAATGTTGATCAGTTTGATTCCTTAACAGGCTGTGAATCTTCGCCACGCCTCCCCGTCAAGTGCAACCTGTCTATAGATTTGAATGATAGACTCTTCTCAGAGTGTTACAGCTATATATATATACGTAAAGAGGGGCGGGGTACCAGGCCTCCCTGTACGTCAGTCTGAGGACTAGATTTACAAAAGAGGCCTACTTTACTTCTCAGTAGGAAAATTAAATCCCTAAATCCTTTCTTTGAATGTTACAGTCTTAAGCAAATAAAAGGCAAGTATGCCGATATTTAAACAAATTCTATTTCTCTTGAAAACTTGTTGAAAACCTTTTTTTTCTTTTAGAGTCAATTATCTCAAAGAAAGATGGCTTGTTTTGTAATAAATTAAGAAAGTTAAATAATTAATTGACAAAATTGCGGAGGTATTTGCAGTTTTACATGAATTTACATTTACTTTGTTTTCCCTTCATTAAAAGCATTAGATAATTTCTGGTGATATAGATCTACACATAACACAGAAGACCCAATAACAAAAGCCTGTAGGGCGTATTAATACAGCAAACAACAGTTTAAAATATATATATGAACTCTCTACAAGATATACTAACATTGTATAACTTTGTTAATAATTGAAGTTATTTGCAATCAGATTTCAAAAAAAATTAAAAATCCGATAATTAAATCTTTCAGTGTTTTGCATTCTTTTTTTTTTTTACAGCACTGATATATATAGGCTGTGCATGGTAGCCAAAGCATTACTGTATTATCTTTTTATGTACAAAAGAAGGAAACCTGTAAATAGATATCTTAAAATAAGTCCTGTGGTTCATTTTATTTTATTTTGAAACGTCATTATAAACGAATTAAAATGGCAAAACCTGGGAATATCTTAAAATTATGAAAAAAGATACATAATTTTTCATTTTTTTTAGTGTCTCGTGTGTCTTTGAGGCAGGGTGCCGATATTTTAATTTTATATGCAATTAACTGTAATTGCGTTAATTTATTTGTATAATATTTGGCATGTGACACTAGTACTTTTACAGTGGTATTTTCCAATGGCTCTTCAGTTAATTGCAATTTAACTTACATGAAGGGTAAAGCGGAAATTTTAGAATATAATTTAAAATTGCAAAGCATGGGTTCAAAAAATGTAAATATAAGCATTAAATCAATATTTTTGGAAAGATATAGTTTTATAACTGCAGCGGTTTGTGCAAACAGGTTTGCATAATTTGCACACTCTGTTGCAAATATGAGACTTCATCTTTAATGAACAATGCTTAAAAAAAACACTTACGAGATGATTTCATTGAAAGATCGCCTCTTATCTGGTTTTAAGAATAAATAGCACGGGGTGATAGTAAGGATTATGTTGGTAACCAGACTACACATTAATGTAGCTAACTAATGCTGTAGATACGGTATTTTACAGGTACTTGACTTTATAGTCGATGGCTTACTGACACCTGTGAAATAATCAGTCTGAAACATTAAAGTCAAGTGGCCCATTTTGAGGATACTTCAGACTTTGAAGCGAGTCATTACCAAAAGTAAAAAGCCGTATCCTCTCTACATCGAAGATAATATAAAAAAGCAAGGGTAAAAAATTAATAAAAAAAAAATAATATACCAGCCGCCGCGGTCGGGGTTAGATGTTTTAATTGATGTCTGATAGGGATTAACACGCTGAATCCTTACCTCGCAAGACTTGGCGAATCACGAGTGTTTTCAGGTTGTTCATACGCAATAAATATCAGCGGTTGGTTCGAAGGGAGATGTTGAAATTCAAGCTTAAGTGGTAAAAATTATTATTTTTTTTATATATATATATATATATAAAAGATCAATATATGTATATGATGCATTGGTTTTCTAAAGTATGAAAATTTAAGGGGGGGGGGGGTATTGAAAAAGTAACATTCAATAGCGCCTTACATGTATATTCATTGAAAATTACATTATTTCACAGTGTTAATTGATGTAACACCACGTGAATTATTACCAAGGATAAGACTTGTCATATTGGGATTTTTTACACCAAAATTGCAGTGATTGTTCATTCGACATTTTTGACCTTTTAATTGATTTTAATTTATATATGATGTCCTTAATGGATCGTCAAATAAAAAAAAAGATAGGTAAAAGCAGAAAAAGTGATGTACATTTAAACAGGATGTCATGAATATAGAGAATAGTCCAGATTACCAAAATTGTCAAAGATTTAAGGAAGCACTGATTGAACATGGGAAACGATCTACGTACATGTATTGCCGTATTTTCCATGTCAACAATTATTATATGCAAATACTCCTGATTTAGCAGATATAATATCTAAAGAATCTGGACGCCTAGTAGAAATTATTATGTTCATCTATATAAAGACCCCGGCAGATTTATTCTACCACAATTAAGAGGAACTGAATTCTGAAGACTCCATATAGTCCTTAAACGATCAGACCTCATACGGCTCAATTACTTTTTTTAAAAAAACGATCGAGGGTGATTTTTGACCTGATCTAAATAACTACCCCATACCAATACAACACATCCTCCGTTCTTCATATGGAATGAGTGAAAGAGATGACCAGAATCCACACAATTGGTTAGACTCCATTTAGTGCAATCTCATCGGTAGTGTGGACACCCAGTAGGCAGCGACATGCCTTTACTGGCGTCACATGTAGGCAGCGACATGCCTTTACTGGCGTCACATGTAGGCAGCGACATACTTTTACTGGTGTCACATAAACACGGTGATGTCAAAAAGATTTACTGTTGTCAAAGTGTCATATTTTCAATTTATAATAGTATAATTAATACAAATTTATAATGTGACAAATATTGTAATATGTATATTGTAAAGTTCTACTACTACTTCGTTGTTAATTTTTTTTTTTTTTTAAAAAATACGAGATAGTATAGGAAAAATCAGACTAATGTCGCATGGATTAATTTATGCGAATAATGTTCTCACTAGAAGTTGATCGTCCTCCTCAAAAACATCCGGAAAAGTCCTCCTTCATTTGATATCATCCGTAATGTACATTGTACAAAATAACAAGAAGTTCCATGATACCCTCAACCTGGTATACCCTCATGCAAAAATCAGACTTGCACACCTGAAGCATGCTGTCCTCACCAATCACTCACCGCCCCCGAAGTCTCCGCCACTGCAATAGTGTCAGGTAACCTCGAGTGATAACCCCTGCTTGCGGAGGAACACGGAGTGTTAAACACTGTCATTAATTCTCCGATAATTTCTGTGATTAATTTTTATCCATTTAATTTCTTCCGTCAAGTTCGCTTGAGTTTTATATCGTGCCAATATCTGGTGAGAATAAAAATAAACCATAATAGATTTCATTAACGTCGATATCCCCATAAAAAAGAGGGGGTAAGATGCTCGTTTTATGAAGGGAAGTGCAAGATGAAAGATAATGGATTTACATTTTTTGTTAAGTAAAAAGGCCTTGATTTTGAAAAAAAAAAAAAGATCGTATCATGTCTTTGGTAGATGAATAACTAAAACTTACAAAGTGGTTAAATTAAATTGTTTGCTTGGAAGGAAAAGGTTACATAGAGATCTTAAACAGCAAGTGGAACCGAATGTAAGTAGATTTACAGAGCAGTAGAATACAGGAATGGATATATCGTAAAAGAGTGTGAAGAGGACAAATTTCAAAACTGACAAAATGTTCCATGGAAAATAGAACAAAAGAACTGGATTAAAACTTTTAATAGTGTTCCTGTTATGTTTAAGACTAATTTCTAAACTAATTTTATTTTACCACGTTAAGGAGACGGACAAAATAGTCATTCTAGTCCCCTTTTCTACAATTCGTACCGGAAAACTCGACCCGAACACCTCTGAAGAAATTTGGACTGGAATATCAGAAATGTGCCGTCAATTGCAGCTAATCCAAGCCCACGTCAAACTTGAAGAGTCTGTGCTAGCCGGAGAGTTTCATTGTTTAGAAAAATGAAAACTTATCGCGGATAGTTCTCTTGAATGACATTTGAAAACCTTTCTAGCGCGTTCTGTGCAAGTTTGTTAGAATTTATCTACGGTTAGGATTAGCAGATTTAGTGTGTTGACAGTCTCCAGATTAATCAATCTGTTTTGTTTGGATGCTGTGAGGACAGGTATGGTTGTCTGACAACCGGAGACAGCCGACAATTCCTGCAGTTGAGACGTTGTTCAATGAGATAACATTTCTAACCGCTTTTCATGCACAGCAAGTAAAAAAAATTAATTGTACACCTAAACTTTTGTAAGCTAGATGTCTGTGGCGCCAAACTATCTTCACTGATGACTTAATATGGTAAAAAGTCCACGTAGCCCAGGCGCTTTATTTGTGTGGACCATTTGTGTTGTACTGCTGTGGGGTGTTCAGATGGTAGACTCGAAACGTAAAGAAAACAAATGTATGAGGCATTATTTCGTTCATACTATCGAACACCCGAAAAAGAATTGTGAAAAGAAGGTAAGAAATTATCATTTTTGCATGGACCTTTTTTTCGGTAGAGACGGTAACTTCTTACATAATAATTCTTAGTAACAATTAACCGTTTTCAGATATGTTCTGTACTGTCCAGTTGTTTAGTTGTCTACAATTACGTTTACCCATGACAAACAAAATTTGTTTCATTCCATTGAAGACGTTCCTTCTTGAAAAACTATTATCAATTTCGACCTATTAGAGTTGATTTATTTTATTTTCCACTCTCTTAAAATACATGTTCAGCACTTCAACATAAATTTGTTTTATGTAAGCATTCTTTTGGTAGTTATCTTCATCATATACAATTTGTGCAAAACTCTATACCTCAAGACCCGCGTTGTTTTGGGGACTGTGAAATGCCAGGTTCTCTTTGACAAAACATCCATGTTTGGATTGCCTTAAACAGTTTAGTCACGTTATTCGTGATGATGCCAAGTAAATACGGAAGACAAATGATTAAGTTGAATACACTGATATCCTCGTTTGTATTTTTATTGAGAGTTTATGGTGCTACAATTTTAAGACAACTCCGATATAAATCAAAGGATGTAGAGAGGTAAACGGACTTCTAATAAATAAGCTATATACCAAACTGTTCCTCCACTAGCTTCTAGATAATGAGCAAAGTGATAATCTGAAATCTACTCCATTTTGATTTGAGAGCTTACCTGAGGTACAATTCTATGTTACCATTCAAGTATTACAATAAAAAAGGTTGGTCAAATAAAAGGTAGGGCCCTTTTATTATAAATACATATGTCTTACTGCAATACTTAAGGATAAATAACACAAACTTTTTTCTTCCGAAATTCAAATATCTTTGCTGAAATAAGTGCCTCTCTCACTTTAGAAGTGATATTTGTTTATTTAAACAGCTAAATGTTTGACCAAGCCACATAATTTGTTAAAAAGCTCGAAAATACAACTTTAAAGCTCAATGTAATTTTGAAAAGTTCTAAAAATGTAAAGTTTTCTTACTGCAGACTTCCTGGGGACATTTTCAAAAGCGTATCTTTACACTATACACAAGAAAAAATTCTAAATTACATTTCCATTGAAAGAAATATTGAATAAATACATGTGTAACTCTTCTGTTTGGGAGATAAATTTGTTTGAGGTATGTTTAATTGCTTGTAATTATAAACAATTTATAACTCAGAATTCATTCTCAGTTAAAAAAAAAAAGTGTTGATTTTAATTTTATTATACTTGATGATTTTTTTATATTTCAAAACGTTCCAATTATCGAAATAATATTGTTTATTTATATATCGCGCATACAGAAAGTATCTATAATGAGAATTGAAAATGATTCCCATTTTTAATAATTAAAAAAAATGTAGTATGTATTGCAATGCACTTTGTTATCAAGAAATGTTCATGGAAAAACCTTGTATACTACAAAGCTTATTTTGCTTGACATTATTTAACTACGGCCATCTTTTTTTTTCAGCATGTTCTTCTGGTACGGTGTAAGGGTTTCTGCAATAAGTCCAAGACCGAGCCACGCGTGACCTTTAGCCCCGTCCTCTACCGCCCCTTTAATTACCACTGCAAGTGTTGCAGAGACTCCCTGTCCATTATGAAAGCTATCCGACTGAATTGTGAGGGCGGTCAGTCGGTGTTTGCTACCTACCGATATATCATCAGGTGTAAGTGCAGACATTGTAACTTTAACAGGTGGTAACTAGTCTGTTTATCTGTGATAAGCCTCGTGATTCGCTTTTGTCGTTAGAGAAGGGCGTGGACAACACATTGTGACGTCACGAAATGTTTCTTCATTGTGACGTCATAGGTGTGACAGGTGCTTTGATTAGTGTCATTTGGATGTAAGCCTTGTGTATCTTACGTGTGTTTTGTATTTAAACATGCATGCAAGTTAGTATGGGTAATATGTGCATTTATTCTGGACTTTGCAAAAGGAAGAAAACAACTTGTCAAAAACAGAACAGTTGAAGGAAGGCAGTCACTGTGTTATAATAAATGGAGTGTGCTATCAAAGAATCTTACTTATTATTCTTCGAACATTTTTATTTTCTAACCCCCTTTTTCTGCTATTACTTTAGTCCTCCAAATAATTAACTTTGTTGCAAAAAAGAGTATGTACATGTAGATATGGTTGATCCTTGTATCAGTTAAAGGGTACTTGATATATTCATAAAAACTTGTTTAAAGTACTGAAATGAAATATATGGAGATAACGAACAGTATTCAAGCTCAAAAGTCCGTTAAACAATACAAAATAGGAGCAGAGCAAACACGGACCTCTAAACATCAGAGGTGGGATCAGGTGCCATGGAGGAGTGAGCATCCCCTGCCGACCGGTCACACCCGCCGTGTGCTCCTTCTCATCATCGAGAAATAAAGGAAAAATCCGTCGACAATTCAGTGTGTTAATAATGGCCTAACAATTAATATGAAAAACGTCAGTCAGCATTTGACTCAATGATAAATTGTATTTGCTGACAAGTCATTGTTTCGACCATAGAACTTACGAAATGATGACTTGTTTCGAAAAAAAACCTGTTAAACTCTTTCAGTGTACTATTTGTCTGTAGAACATTTCCCGTTTACATTGAGTATTTAAAGAAATGTCACTCTTAAAAAAAATATTATGAATCTAGGTTTGACGTGCAACAGTCTCCTCAGAGACAATTTGATCCTGAAAGTTTGGTCCGATGACAGAGATATTGATTGACAAGAGGTTGAACTTCGTCGGAGTTACATTCTAAAATTCGATATATTTTAACTATTGTAAAAATATCTGACACTATCTAGAAATATAAATATTTTTTAGTAATATTCGGAATACCGGAAGTGACGATCCTCGGAATTTGACATCGTTAGGCATCCTGGAGGACACTTACGTGCCAGTCAGACACGTTAACTTCTGGCAGCGGGTAATCAGATTTAATGTCAGACTCCACACAGCAAGACAATAAATGTCGGCTCACAATTGGCAGAAGAATCCCCTCAATATTATAACGCGTGTCAAACTATACCCTTAACGATACAGAAACAAAAAAGTCATTAAACTTATCTTGTGAAAGTCGAGCCAAGGCTTGGAAGATGGTTTATGATCCTGAAAAATTCATTCACCCTAAAATTATATTTGATTTCTTTTATTCCTAAAAACAACATGCTTTGCTTCATAACGGTACACGCCGCGAAACGGTTTATCAGTAAGCGTTTTTATGTATCTGTTATATCAAATGAGCGTTCTTATCGCATCAAAATTGTCATAAAAATACACTAAATTGACTTGTTTATAAAGTGTCAGAAATTTGTCATTTTCAGAATGTTATTTTCCAGTCCTGTAATGCATTTGAATTTAAAACAGTATATAGATAGAGAGGTGGGATTAGATCTGATACAAGAAGTACACTTATGTGGCACTTTTAAAGTACACGTAAGAATTGTTCACAATGCCTTAGCATGTAAATGTATTATAAAGTTAAACGAAATTGAAACCAACAGTAATCAATTAGAAAGTATAATTTAAATAAAAACATGAGATCTATGTAGGAAATGTACAGTAAAACATGGTTACAATGTTATGGTTACAGCAAAGTGATTTTCATTTCATCTGTTCATGTAGTTTTAAAGCACATCATCAGCTTACCCGTTAAATAAGGAATTATGTTTATTATGGATCAAAGTTGTTGGTCTATGTAACTTCCCTATAAGAGTGTTTTATTGTACAAGTCTTATTGTAAGCAATGATTGAATGCATATAAAATCTACATAAGGGGCAGCAATAAGTCACTGATTCATCTGGACTGAGAACTGTCACCAGAAAACGTGTGGAAAAAAATATTCATAAATGTGTGCTAAAAAAAAGTATAGATAAATTAAATCTACGATTCTCTTGAGATTCACTGTGATTCACTTCAGAGTTGTGATGTTTTCAGATATCAGTGCCTTCAAAACCCTGTGCCATAGTGGTGCTCTGACTTCTTTATCATGATCATGTTTATATATTTATATTTTTTAATTTTCCAATTTCCATTCCCAAGTGCAGTAACTCGAGATATCTATTTATTAAGGATATCCAATCCTCAGCCAGGAAGGATAACTCTTAAATTTATTATTTCCTATTTATAAAGTCTCAAAATGAAACTTGAATTTCAGATTTTTTCGTGCAACAATTTTCATTTTATGCATCTTAATATGATTCACGGTTCCTTGAAGTCTTAGTTACGGTCTTGTAAAAAGTTGACATTTGTACCCCTTAAAAGAAAAAAATTAATTAATTTTTAGGGAAATCGAATTTCCTTTCATCTAGCATTAAATACCAATGCTTATTAGCATGATATGAAATACTAGTAAGACGTGATCTGTGATGTCTAGCAATGATAACACACACTTTTTACACTATGTATTATATAACAATTGAAGTAAATAGAAGAACTAAAATACTGTATAAATATAAAAAAGATGCAATTTTCTCCAAATGCCTGGATACCTATATATTTTTTTAAATCCTAAAATATATTTGTTGATCAATTTTCAATTAGAAAATATATAGCTGGTGTTTTTATTCATATTTCCTGAAAACATATTTGAGATTTGATAATTTTCCCTATATAACATGATTAACTTTAATGATGAACTTTGAAGAAATACCGTGGGTAAATTCACTTTACTCTGTGAAATCATAGACATTTTTGTGAGCATTTTCAATTACTTAAAAGCTGATTTTCAGAACCTGAGGATCAGACTACCTTAAAGATACACTAGAAAAATGAGGAGTGTTAATTTTTATAGCGTATTTCTCTTCTATTAACTCAATCACATAGAAAAGAACATAAAACTCTCAAATGTGAAAAAGAACCCAGAAATGAATAAATACTGTAATATACCCACTTTCCCAAAGGCAAAAATAAAATGAATATTTATAGAAGTATGTCCCATTTTATTCATAAATACTCAATTTGAGCATAAGTAGACATTACAATTTTCATTCAGTTTGACAACATACAGAAAAAACATCAAGTACATGTATATGCTCAGGTTTGTTTAAATCCATGTCAACTTGATTATCTTTACCACCATATTCATACATGGTTATGTCTTGACAACAGCCAGAAAACTCAACCCTTCACTCTGTTTGAAGGCCTGAAAACTTCATGATCTTTCCATCCTATTCAGTTTTTATGCATGTATATCTCCAATAATCTGTGGCTACAAAAGCACAACACATATTTCAGATGAAATTCCTCTGTTGATGGAGAATAGAAAGCACTGTAATACTATTGTGAATAACCACCTCCTCATTATGAGGGATTATCGTAATCTTCGTCTTCCATTTTACGCTTCAGTGGGTTTGAGGACTGCCCGCTGATGAGGGAGGTTGTGGTACTCTGTAGGGGTTGGAACTGGATCGTGGGCTGAGGGATGGGGGGATGACCTCCAGACATCGGAACTGCATGTTGGAATGTACGAGCCTGATTCAATGAGTTCAATGATGGACCTACAAAACATAAAATAGAAATTCTCAATTCACAACAAAAAGTTTTTAGGAATTGAATACAAACATGCATTGTCAAACCTTGTATATGTAAAAATACTGTTAAAATTCATTATATCAGATATCAGTACAGGTACTTGCATAAAATAAAAGTGTCTACAGTGTCTTGTTTACATATACCGTAAGTACCATGGTACATGTACTTTGAAAGTTACTCCTCGGATATTAATAAAAGACTGGAATAATGAGGTATACATGGAGAAAATGAAAGGTACTCTGAGAACCACTGTCATCCAAATGTGATTTAGTGAAAATGTGACAGGGTTGGCCGGGAAATACCAGTGGTGGGAATTACCAGTGGTAAATACCGGTATTTCCCGTCCCGGGAAATACTACAAATTTCTCTAAAGTGGGAAATACTGGGAAATACAAAGTTAAAGTTTTTTTATTTCTTTAATTCATTCAATCTTATACAAAATTCAAAAATAAAATAAACATAAAAACAAAGATGAATAATATGGAATATGTCTCAAATTGCAATTGAACATATTCAGAATGTATCACTACTCCAGGTCCCATTCCCATAAGCATTCTGTGTAAAACTGAAGTTTTCCAATTCAAGTTTCTTTTCAGTTTTGTAAAATTATAAAGTTTATTAATCATAAATCTAAGAACAAAAAAAAAACCCAAACTTGTTTTAATCCTTCTATAAACACTGTAGTTATTACAAACAATCATGTTGTTTTAACAAATTGCTCTGGACAGTTTTGTGCTCCTGTTTTAAGATATAATTACCTTGAGTAGAACTGAAAGGCTTCTTCTTAGTTTTGATATTAATACCATACTCTACATTTAAGAATTTTCTTAGATGAAAACCCATTTGGGATCTTTGGGTTCATTTCATGGACCTTTATAGACTACATCTGTCTCAAGCATGAAACAAATGACACTTATGACTGGTATATGAATATACTGTGTTATGATTATACAAAATGAATTACTTGGAAACCAGATTTTTTTAAATCAGGGACAATGATACCAGGTAGATATCTTAGCCAATAAGGTGTACTACTTATCATTATGAACGAAATATGTTAGTAGCTATTTCTTATTTCCCAGTATTTCCCGGGAAATACCAGTAATTCCCGGTAATTACCAGTATTTCCCACCATCCTGGGAAATATGAGTATTTCCCAGTTTTTTGCCAACCCTGAAATGTGACACATAAAAAAATTGATTAACTCATATGTGTTCTCTCTGCTCCATAGACCCCAGTTTTAGCCAGGTATTTTGTTTTAGTTATGCAGCCTGTACTTTGTATTTATATACATGTCTGTAATTGTAGTACATGTATACATATTTCTGTAACAATAGTTAGATGGCATATTTATGTGTTTTTTTTCCTTCTTTACAAAACATATGATGGTTTCGTCAGAAAAACGCAAAATTTAAAAGCTCAGAATTTTTTAGAAAAGCAGAATTTTTCTAATTTATTGAAATGCAGTTTAGCTATCCCAATAGTTCAATTCAGACTTTTCAGAAAGAAAATTGAAATGTGTCCTTTTGCAGGGTCAACTGAAAGATCAAAAGGGAAATCAACAATGTTTTTCTTCTTTTTACTACCAAACATTTGGGTGTGCTGCGATATCTCACTGTGTTTAATTTTTTTCAATGTATGGGTGGCCCCATCCTGGGGTTATTATATACAAATGATATAATCATGTCATATGATGTCAGTTAGACCAGAAGGCTACAAAGGTTAAAGTGAGAATTCTAAGGGTTTTTCCTCAAAGTTAGCAGCCAAGGGACATAACTATAACTTTTAAAAAGTTTTATTCAACTATATCTTAAAGCTGAAAACAATTGTGTGTGAACCTAATCCAAACAACATTTACAAAAAACATATTTGGGGCAAGGAAGAAATTTAACCATTACATTTTGAAAATCCTCAAAAAAAAAGAGTCTGATACAAACCTGTAGAAATTCTGATAGCAGGCTTTGGGACAGGGTGATGTTGACCCGAGGGTTTGGTTACTATGGTAACAGCAGGGACAGTCATCCCGGGTTTGGACACGACAGTGAGATGTGGACCCCCCGGGCCAAGTTTTCCTGAAAATAAAATCAGTCACAATAAGTATACCAGGTAAAGCGAGATAACTCTAAAGATAGGATACACAGTCTAAAGATAGGATACACAGTCTAAAGATAGGATACACAGAAGTCTGCATGAGGAGAAAATGCCAAAGAAATGTTGACATCAGAAACAATCTTTTTGCCAAAGACATTGGATTAAATACATTCTTTATTTGCCTGACATCATAGTTATAGTCATCTGGTTTGGAATCACTCTTTACCTTTGTTAATGACATCTGATTCGGAACATCTAATTTTAATTAGATTGCTGACATCACAAACATCTGGTTAAGATTTATTTTCTACTCACCTGGTGTCATTGACATTTGGTTCAGGTTGATTCTCTGCTGGAATTGTGGCAGACCTATCTGTATTCTTGCCTGATGCTGATACAAATATAAATTCATAAATGTAAAATTTACTCAAAATATGATATCTATAATATATGCCTAATGAATATATTGTTCTTTCAAAAACACATGCTATGATATAAAAATAAAGACACAACTTAATTAAAGCTTAGAAAAGTAATTTTCAAATTTTTATTTTTACCTAATATATTTATTTATTTATTATTTTTATTCCTTTTTTGACAAAACAAAAGCAATGAATAGAAATCACAAGACTCGTGTTCTGGAAGACGGGAACTAAGTACGACACACCTTTTTGACTGCTTTATGACTGCTCATTTTGTAATTAGGGGCAGACAAACAATATCTATCTGGCGGTAGCCGTAGTCCTGTATATGTCTTGATGAGAGGTAAGACTTGGCCATTCTTATGTTTAGAAATCTCCATCAGCAGCTAAAAAGATAGTTATTCCTTCTTTAATTATATTTTGGCTTCTAAGCTTTTAATCTTGTCAGTATGCAAAGCCTGACAAGTGAGAAATTTCAATGTACCTCATTTTCTTTTTCCCAATAAAAAACAACAAGAGGCCCATGGGCCACATCGCTCACCTGAGCACATTGGCTAGGCAAAAGCACAATCAGTTCAGTATTGAAAAGACACGGGGGGGAGGGGCTTGAATTTTAAACTACCTGATGATGCTTCCATGTCAATATAACAAATGGCTTTGTTGTACTTAAGAAGATTTTTTTTAAAAAATTCCCATATATTCCTTTGTAAAAATTTGATCCCTCATTGTGGCTCCTCCCTATCCCAGGGGTCATCATTTAAACAAACTTGAATCTACACTACCTGAGGATACTTCCATATCAATATGACTAAACATAGCTTTTCTGTTCTTGAGAAGAAATATTTTTTCTATATGTTCTTATGTAAAACTTTCCTTCCCCCATTGGGCCCCACCCTACCCCTTGGGGTCATCATTTGAACAAAATTGAATCTACACTACCTGAGGATGCTTCCATATCAAAATGATTAATCATGGTTTGCAGTTCTTCAGAAGAAGATATTTTCCTTTATATTTCTATGTAAAACTTTGATCCCCCATTGTGGCCCCACCCTACCCCCAGGGGTCATGGTTTGA